TATATCGATATTGTTCAGTATAGAGAAAGAGAGAATTTTGGGTTTGTTGCCATTTCAGCTTCTTTGTTTATGTCATGGCAAAAAAAAAAAAACAGACCAGGTTTACACCATTTTAGAAATACCACTGTTCTATAGTTATAAAAAATATTCTAACAATTAAAAGTCACCAACAGCAATAAATTCGTTCAGTACAGAAATTAACTATCGGCATTTTTGCCATATCACCCAGCCCTAGTGTAGGGTCCTTCTACAACATATAAAACATCTGTAACACTTACAAACTTTCTAACTTGTCTTGAAAAAGCTGTTAGTAAATGGTTAAGAGGTTGTCAGAGACATTAAACATCATTCCATTGTGTGAGAAAACACACAGCGTAGTTGTGTTTATTCTCACTCTTGCAAACTATTGTAACTCTAAAAAATTAGGTTTTAAAGTTCAGGTTTTTGAAAGTCACACCATTATTTTCACTATCATTGATTTTGTGTAAAGGGTAAATGCACATGTATAGTGTTTGTAGTGTTTGGTCTATAAGCATGTGCAAGTACTTAATAACTAACAACAGTGGCAGATTACAGGACTGTATGTTAAGGTGCACAAGAAAAAACTGAGTGTAAGAATCATACACTTTTTTTTGGCTGATTGTCTGCAATTAACCTCAAAAGAACTTTTGTCGAGGCTACCAGTGCGATGAAAACTTAATGACTGACCTAAAAAAACAGACATCCCAGCAGCACACCAGTGTACTCCAAAACAATCCTAAAATTCACTCGAGTGTGGGTTTACACTACAAGTTTATGACTGTGCTTCTGGAAAGCTTTGCATACAGGCGGCAATACTTTCAAAATGATCCCCTTCACACAAGGGGCCAGGCCAGTAGTTAAAACTCTTCACAAAGAACCTCTTCACATCTTCACACGTGTCCTGTGTTTAACCATTGTTGTTTTGGTTTTCAGGTATTTTGCGTTTGCCTATAAACTGTAACAAAACTGTGCATAATGTCACTATTTTTTTTTTTTTTTTTTAGCTGGCATCCAGCTCTCTGCAACTCTCACATGGTCGCCAACTGAAGCCAAGCAGGGCTGTGCCCGGTCAGTACCTGGATGGGAGACCACATGGGAAAGCTAGGTTGCTGCTGGAAGAGGTGTTAGTGAGGCCAACAGGGAGCGCTCAACCTGTGGTCTGTGTGGGTCCTAATGCCCCAGTATATTGATGGGCACTCTATACTGCTCAGTGAGCGCTGTTGTTCGGATGGGACGTTAAACCGAGGTCCTGACTCTCTGTGGGATTTTAAAAATTCGAAAGGGATTTAACCCCAGTATCCAGGCCAAATTTCTCACTGGCCTAATCCTCCCCATGTCATAATTGGCTTCATCACTCTGTCTCCTATCCACCAATCAGCTGGTGTGTGGTGTGTGGTGTGAGGTCTGGCGCAATAAGGCTGCCGTCAGATCATCCAGGTGGATGCTGCACACTGGTGGTGGATGAGGGGATCCCCCTGCATTGTGGAAAGCGCTTTCAGTGTCTAGAAAAGTACTATTTAAATGTAAGGAATTATTATTATTATTTTACAAATTGGTGTTTTGGATGTTTGCACAGCAACGATAGACGGATAATTTCCATTACATTGCACATCAAAACTAGCTTTCAAACATTTCAATTTTAGGCCCCCAAAATATTTAAACTTTAAAATTTAAACACACATTCACAAAAGCATTTTTTAGATATAATAAAATAATGTGCAAAGAAATTTTTGATTCGTCTATAGATAGTTTGTGTTAAGTTCATAGTTTGACCCTAACATTAACATTACATTATAATATAACATAACATATTAAATTGGGTCATATTTGAATGACATTTTAATAACTGTTGGCAATTTTTGTTTAACTGGTTGATGTATTGATTGTACGTTGAGTTAATGAGTTAATGCAGTGAGCACAGCTCTAGTTTAATAAAACAACACTCTGCAACATTCATTCATTCATTTTCCTTTGACTTAAATCACTTTATTCATCAGGAGTTGCCACAGCGGAATCAACAGCCAACTTATCCAGCATTTGTTTTACACAGCGGATGCCCTTCCAGCTGCAACCCAGTACTGGGAAACACCCATACACTACGGCCAATTTAGATTATTCAGTTCACCTGTACCGAATCGAAACCCAAGCGAACACAGGGAGAACATGCACACAAAAATGCCAACAGGATCCAAACACGCAACCTTCTAGTTGTGAAGTGACAGTGCTAACCACTGTGACACCGTGTCAACCTGACTTTGCATCAACAGAAGACTATTTTTAATTAGTTTACGGCTAATTTTCTTTCTTTACCCTGATTATATTTTGTACAGATGTCAGTAGTTAACATTCATCCTGATCACCTAATAAGGAAGATAAAACCCTGGTCAAAGAAGTTTTTCCTTTTTTTGTGGCACACAAGTGTTTTTGGAGCTTTTGTGTGATTACAGTTTAACCACTGAAGTCACCTGAAATGCTTTTGGCTCCTTTTTTGGACTTTGTCTTTGAACAACTTGTGACCAACCGTCGCTGTCTATGAGCTGAGTAGAGCTGCACGATTTGACATATATATATATATATATATATATATATATATATATATATATATATATATATATATATATATATATATATGTGTGTGTGATTTGAAAACTGCTATTTGGGAAGAATTTACTCATTTAGAATGATTGGGATGATTCTGTAGGGAAGTGAATCGTGCATAAAATTTAATAAACAAATTACAAGCAAATACAAAAAAAGCTAAGATAAAAGTGAAATAAACCGTGTTTTATGGTTTTCAGGGCCGTCAAATAGTATTCAGATACAGAACTTGAGTAATCAAATGTAAAACAACACTGCAAAAATCGTGACTGTATAAATAATCCAATAATTCAAAATTGATTTGCCATTGTGTTCACGTGCTCAACAGAAATGACTGTGATTGGTCGTGAAGGTCATCAGTTCACCACACTCACCGCTCTTTACTGAGTGTAACCACAAATACAGAGACACTGGAGTGTTTTAAAGCAATGAAGATCAGCTGATCTGTTTATAAAGCCATGAAGATCAGTCAATTCACCAGCAGATCACTTGTCTGTCAGCTTATAAACAGATCAGCTGATCTTTGTGGTTTTAAGGGTGCTTTCACACTAGCACTTTTGGTCAAGACCTGCGTTCGTTTGACATCAGAGTACGGTACGTTCAGCTTGTGTCGACGTGTTTTCAGAACTCGGGGGAGCATTCGTGAACGGTTTGGTTTACTCAAACTCTGGTACGGTTCACTTCTGGTATGAATCCAATCGTAACAAATAACGGAAGTGAACCGCCAACTGTACAACATGTCAGGCTCAATAGTTTAAATAAATCATTGACTTCTGATGTCCTCATTAGTTCAGATTTCTTTACAACACATAAAAAATACATTAAAGAGAACTTTATATACCTAAGGAACGGTATAACAGAACATTTTAGGGGTATTAAAACCTTGACTTTTCTAAACCGCGGTAAACCTTGAAACAGGTTATCGTCCCATGCCTATAACAGAATTTACATTTATTGATAAAAACTAATCCTTAAAGAACAGCCAAAATGCAGAAAAAAAGCTTTATAATTTTATCTTAAAAGTAAAATGATGCCGTGTGAATAGCCTCTTAAAAAATATACACATTTTAAAAAGCATGTGGACATGCCAAGCAAGCAAAATATTTTGATGACTCATCCTGCACTACACAAATTGTCATCCAATCATATTTCATCTTTAATTATAACGCCCCTCCCCCAATGCCACCTAATAACCAGCAAGCAGCAATTGTATGACTTAAAACATACTGGCTTCTTAAAATATAAATAAGTGGCAAGGCCTTTGATATATCCGAGCAAAGCTTCCTGTGAGAAAAAGTCAATACAGGAAACAAAACCGTGCTCGTTAATCAACTTTGATGGGTCTTCAAGTGAAACACTGAGAGCCAGTAATAAAGCTGCACACTTGTGTCATGATTTTGTTCATATCTGTGCAAACGCAGCATGCAAAAGGGGTACAGAAAAGGGAAATATGAGACAAATACTTCATTTAGCACATGCAGAGGACACAGGAAGCGTAGCTGAGCAGCCTGGGGCTATTCTCAAGGGAAACACAGAGGCTCTGCAATCACCATAGAGTGCCATTTGTTGTCTGTCACCCTGGAAACCACAATCAAAATGGCAATCACAGCATTATGCTGTAGGCTTTTACTCATAACACTCATAGAAAATCTCAGAATTGTGAAAATTGCCTCCTTTCCCAGTTAAATTCAATCTAAATCCTTCTCAAAAACATCAATGTCACATTTCTGCTCTCCAGCTTATTCATTTTCAGTGGTTCAGCAGGGACAAAAAGCATGTGCTTTGCTCAATCATGGACTGGTGCATGAGCACATGCTTTTTTTACACAAAGGCATAAGGATGCTCCATGTGGTTCCAGAAGAGGCTACAATACAATGTCTTTGCCTATTAGGAAAGCCAGGACCACCTGAATGGCAGCTTTTCTTTGATGCAAACCCTTATTTTATATCATAACCAATGCTTATTTCAGTATTTAAATGCACGAGGTTTCTACAGCTGACTATGCGATGTGTAAGACAGATGTTGAAGCTGTGCTGGTGTAATTGCCTGAAGGCACTAGACGTTATGCCTCAGCAGTCTGGCACGTGTTTTAATAAGAATTACAAACGCCGTTTAGATAAAGGGGGGAAAATTATTAAGTAATACATGACAGACTTTTATTCATATACGAGGTCATAAACGAGCAGTGCTTTCAAATCTAGTGAGCTGCCTTCCTAGACAGCATACATCCGAATGTGATGTCAAAAATGACCCCTAGATAGGCATCTCACTACATGTTGAGACACAGCCTTAGAGAGAGAGAGAGAGAGAGAGAGAGAGAGAGAGAGAGAGAGAGAGAGAGAGAGAGAGAGAGAGAGAGAGAGAGAGAGAGAGTTACTAACCACAGCAATGGACGTCCTCACCGCCTCGGACACACTTTGTCTGAGCTCTGCTGCCGTCCCAGGTTTGCTTAACCTCTTCGTGAATTTTCGTACTTCGGACATGTTTTATTCCCTCGTTAGTTTGACCGTAATTCCATCAGCGTCCTCATTACAGAAAGCAACATCGCGGCACGCCAATCTGCGCGGCTGACAGAGGTGCGGATGCAGGCGTGTGGGGCGGGGCCTCATGGACCAAGCGCTAGCCCCGCCCACTTGTGGTTGCCTGATATCCAAAAATCCCTGCTTTAGGGTTAATCATTGAAAATGTTTAAGATTTGTGCACTTTGATTTAGGAAAAAGTTAGGATATATACATTTTTTAATACATATGTATATAATTATCTTAAATTATGTGAAAAGTTTATAGTGAAGAGTGTGTTGTGGTCTCATTTGCAGCCACTTAAATCCAAAGGTACTACAAATGAGACTCGAGAAGCATAAGGATTAGAGTGCCCGAGTCCCTACATAACAAAATGTCATTCATCACGCATACTATGATATAACTTAAAACCTGATTGAAAAACTTCATAAATACTGTTAAGCTCCAGAAAGCTTTGCAATTGTGATAAAACAGTTCTCCAAAATCTTAGATAAAAAGGGTAGTTTAGAAATGGGTCTAAAAATGGACAGCACAGATTTTTCCAAATTTGGCTTTTTCAGAGGTTGCACTACAGCATGTTTGAAAATGCACCACACCAGAAACAAGACTCCTATTTACAATGGACAAAATACTAGGGCCAATAATCTTGGTTTGTTTAAAAAAAATTTGATTTGTTTATATATATATATATATATATATATATATATATATATATATATATATATATATATATATATATATATATATATATATATATATATTTACATTTAAGAATTAAGCAAGCTTTCATCAAAGCAACTCACACCTGTGAACACACACTTGGAGCAGCTGATGTGAATTCAGTGTCTTGCTCAAGGGAATCACCTCAGCCGTAGTATAGATGCTGGTGATATATAGGTGAGAGCTGGATATTCAGTCAACACCTACAGTGCCGGGACTTGAACCCGAACCTTTGGATTGCAAGTCCAACTCTCTAATTACAGCCACTCCATAGTAATTGAATATTTTTAATTGATGTTATTTTGAAATTTAGTTACTATTATGTTACAATATGCAGTGCAGTGTGTAGCCTCACAGCAAGAAGCTTGCTGGTTCGAGTCTTGGCTGGGTCAGTTGGCATTTCTGTGTGGAGTTTGCATGTTCTCCCTGAGTTCACGCGGGTTTCCTCCAGGTGCTCCGGCTTCCCCCACAGTCCAAAGACATGTGCTATAGGTGAATTTGGTAAGCTATATTGTCTGTAGTATACGAGTGTAAATGAGAGTGTATGGGTGTTTCCCAGTGATGGGTTGCAGCTGGAAGGGCAGCCGCTGTGTAAAACATATGCTAGATAAGTTTGCGGTTCATTCCGCTGTGGCAACCCCTGATTAATAAAGGGACTAAGCTGAAAATAAAATGAATGAATGAATGTTACATTATTTTTTTACTCATAATAACAGTTTATTTCCAAATTTATTTTAACACATTTAATTAAATTCAATATATTTTTAATTAACCTTTCTCTTTGTTATAGTCAAATTTATTTATCTTTTTGCATTATTTGATGATTGTAATTATTAATTAATCCAATGTCCATGAATTGTTTGATTTACACTATTATGTTGTGATTTACACTAATACACTAATCTTAATCAAGTGTTTATTTTATTTATATTTTATTTTTTTATTGGGGTTGGGGGGTGTCCTACTACATCTTTCAGCAGCAAATCATATTTACAAAATTATCTATTTGTGAATATTATTCATCATAACCATAAATATGATCATATGCTGACACCTTGTGGCCACAATAGGTATAACATTAAACATTAAAGCAATAGTTTACCCTAAAATGAACTTTTACTCACCATTTACTCACCCTCAAGTGGTTCCCAATTTATTTACTTTTCTTCCATTAAACACAAAAGAAGATATTTTGTAGAAACCTTCAATCTTTTTAGAGCTATTTCACTTTGAACTTGAGCAAGTAAAAGATGAGTAAATTATGTCGATTTTAATTTTTGGGGTGATCTCTCCCTTTAATTAAATCAATTTTAAGAAAAAAAAATATATTATAACATTATAAAAAAGCAGCCAAGGGACAATCCGATAGCATGTATGCATTATATTTTTCTTCTGTACAAAAAGCATGCTATATACAAGGTTAGTTAAAGAAATAAAAAAAACTACACATTATTATCTTATATTCATATATACACACATACATACATTTATATTATACAGTACATTCTGTACAGTGCTAGTATGGACCTGACAGCTAGCAGATACACCAGAACGGCTGGGTTTACACCTAAAGCATTAGTTTGATTCAGATGATGAAGAACGATCACAGTTAAATAAAGTCTAAGTTGGCGTGTGCATTTGTTTTGAACATCTCACTGCGTCTTTCAGCTACATTTGGTTTTCAGCAGCTGATGGACTTTCCGACTCAAGCTGGCTCTCCATGGCTTCACTATGCTCTTCATGTTAACAACAGGGCGACCTTTTCTCACATCCTCGTGTCCCACCACAAGATACTCCAATCCTACAGCAAGAGGAAAAACAAAACAAATTAAGAAAAATAATCACAACGGTCCTATTTCACTAAATAGCTTATCTGTATTTGTTGCTCTGTGTTTGCTTTCATTTCAGTTTATTTAGACTGGCTAAAGTATTTGTTTGATTTATGACAAATTATTTAGATTTTTTAACTTTTGAATGTTATTGAGATATTTGATTGAATTATTAAGCTGTTAATAATAACAGTGCAGTAAAGCAGGGGTTTTCAACCTTTTCAACCCTTTAAGAGCCTTCGGTGAGATTTTGTTTGGCCCCAGTACTAAACATGGCCACCAAATGACATTCTGTTTCCATTGATGACCATAGAAGGGCGCCCCCTATGTTTTGAGGAACGTGAACTGTATTTTCTAATACTTTTGATGGTGATTGTAAAATAAACGTAAAACTTAGTAGTACAGGAAGTTTTAATTTGAATTTAGCCTCTAGAAAATATCTAAACAATATTTCATATGCGGATTGCTGTAGCAAAGTAATGCTTTAGGACTCTGAAAGGAGTATTCTTGTTGCACATTAATAAATAACTGTTGGTCATTAATATATATCGCAAATCAGTTACTAGATATAGAAACTGAACACTTTAGGCTTTCAAAGGATACATAATGTGTTATGATTGTTTTATGTTTAGACAACAATATTTCGATTTAAAAATATAACCGTAAATGGTCCCACAGGTTGTAAGGCGACATTAAATGTGCTTTGTGCTATTGCTCTTCCTACATAAAAAAACTGCAGCAAAATATCTATTCGGAAGTGTTATATACATTAGTTTGTCATTATTAGATTTATTTATTTATTAGATAGATATTTAGATATTTTTATTTATTAATTTAATTGCAAAAAAGTGATGTATACTTATTTGTCCTAGTGGTGGGACAGTGATATGCAAATGATTAATACTGTACTACAGTATTAACTAAATTCATTTATACTGTATGCATTCGTAAACATACATTTCTAGCAGAAACGGCTTAACATTGGATGAAGTTATGTTTAATTATTTTATACATTTATTAATTTATTTATTGACTGAGCTGGGGAGCTATAATTAATGAATCTATAATTCATTAAATTATACTGAAAAATATTATTATGAATATATTATAAAATAATATTAAATTAAAATGAAATTCCCAAAACCGCACACAAGAGAGGTGCAAAAAAAACAACAGTATTTTTGCCTATAGCGTCATGCCTTAATGAGTACATGTTGTTTATTGCAATTTGTAAAAACTCTACATTTAAGTTTTCATCATTTTGTGAATATCCACACTCAGTTAGAATAACAAAGTATTTCAGCAAAAACAACTGTTATCAGATTACATCCTTACATTCATTCATATAACTATCTGCTTCCATAGAATCTGTGATTTTGCAGAATTCTGAGAAATAAAATGTCAGATTACCACAGAATTTGCGCTTCATTTGATAATCTCAATCTCTGCTGTCCATTTAACACATCTGACCAGAGTTAAATCCATTCCACAGAATCTCATAAGAAAAATACATGCAGATTCCACATGGGCTTGAACATTTAATATCAAAACCATTTATGTGTATGTGTGTGTGTGTGTGTGTATATGTGTGTTAACCTGGAAAGAGCACGGGGCAGGTGCAGCCTCGAGACATCCAGGACTCGGGATAAAGTGTCCGGCTTCCTCGAGAGAGTCTGAGGCGAGTGTTGTCCCACAATACCTTTAGGATCTTCACATCCACCTCTGCATGAGAGCCTTTATCATGAGCGCCCAACACTCGCACTTTCACTGCTACAAACACATACGCAAACACGCGCACACACTTTTAGTACATGAACTCAACACTGAGGTGAAGTTGGTGCACAGCAAATGTTTTACATGCAACTTCCCTATTGAACAATAACCAAGTATTTTTACGTCATTGTGTACTGTATTTTATGTCAAGTCAAGTCAAGCTTTATTGTCATTCCATTAAATGTGTGGACATACAGAGGAACGAATGTGTAGCTGGGCCATGGTGCTACATAAATTAATCATAAATACAAACACAGGACATAAGAGCTATTTTAATAAAGCTATGCATTACTAACACACAAGATGCTTAACTATACATATAAGACAAGCTACACAAGTCCTTTTACATGTGACTGAACAATGTTGCAAAAGAGGTATTTAAGGTTTAATATAGTGCAAGAGTTATTTATAGTAGAAGCAAGCAGTGCACTAAGATTGTGGCACATTTATAGTAGACATCGTTTTCCTTATTGAGTTCTTGTGAGACGGAGTTTAGATAAAGAGTCAGGTGCATAAGAGAGAAGAGTGATTCTACAGGTGGTCTGTCAAGCCCACTCACCTGAATGAAGCACAATGTTTCCAAGAGACATGGAGCGATTAGGAAAGTGTGTGTTTATTTTGGAAAACATTTACTTCATTACATTGCTAAACAAAATATTGTTCTTCTTTAAAATGAAGTAAAAATATATGTTGAGATCGTGATTATTATAAATTAATTTTTGAAATTCAAATAAATTGGTTCATAAATTGAACTGAACAAATAATGTGCGAGGGCGAGGCAGTGGCCCAGTAGGTAGTGCTGTCGCCTCACAGCAAGAAGGTCGCTGGTTCAAACCTCGGCTCAGTTGGCATGTCTGTGTGGAGTTTGCAAGTTCTCCCTGCCTTTGCGTGGGTTTCCTCCGGGTGCACCGGTGCACCTCGGCTCAGTTGGCATGTCTGTGTGGAGTTTGCATGTTCTCCCTGCCTTCGCGTGGGTTTCCTCCGGGTGCTCCGGTTTCCCCCACAGTCCAAAGACATGCGGTACAGGTGAATTGGGTAGGCTAAATTGTCCGTAGTGTATGAGTGTGTGTGTGGATGTTTCACAGAGATGGGTTACGGCTGGAAGGGCATCCGCTGCATAAAAACTTGCTGGATAAGTTGGCGGTTCATTCCACTGTGGCGACCACAGATTTATAAAGGGGCTAAGCCGACAAGAAAATGAATGAATGAAATAATGTGTGAATTGAAAGATCAAACTGCTTTTGTTCTTGTGATATTCTTAAAACATTTTCTTATAAGTGTATTTTAATGAATTGGGGAAAATATATTTGTAAAATATTTTATTTTAATATTTGTAACTAAAAGATATATTTGGGGCGACGCCTCACAGAAAGAAGGTCGCTAGTTCGAGTCCCGGCAGGATCAGTTGGCATTTCTGTGTGGAGATTGCATGTTCTCCCCGTGTTGGCGTGAGTTTTCTCTGGGTGCTTGATTCCTTTTGGTTTTCCCCACAGTCCAAAGACATATGGTATTTGTGAATTGAATAAACTAAATTGGCTGTAGTGTGTGTGTGTGCGTGTGCGTGTGAATGAGTGTGTATGGATGTTTCCCAGTACTGGGTTGCAGCTAGAAGGGCATCTGTAAAATAGATACTGGATAAGTAGGCGGTTCATTCCGCTGTGGCGAGCCCTGATGAATAAAGGGACTAAACCAAAGGAAAATGAATAAATGAGTAGTGTTACGTTTCACTTATGTTTTGTTGTTTTCTGTTTTGTGTTCTCTTCTTTCTTGCGTTGTGTTTTCTGTCCTGTTCTAGGTGTGCAACCATTAGTTGAAAAAACTGTCAATCACCATCATGACGCAATCAGGAGCTGGTCCGCTGTTCAGCAGGAGCGCTCGACTCACCGCCAAACTCCTCACTTGTGTCGGCCAGCCTGTTAATTTGTGTTTGTATTGTTTTGTTGCTGTTGTTGTTTAGTCTCTCTCAATTAAGTGATCTATTTATTAGATAAGTGTGTGCAGCTCAATTTAGTATTTATTGAGAAGTTGAACGCTCTTTATGAGAATTGGATTATCAGATAAGCTCTTGTTTTGCTAATGGCTAACAGTGTGTACTTTACGAGAAATCTAGTCATTTTGAGTTAGTTTAGTGGGTTGGGGTTTAGTTAGATTGCTTTGTTATATTTATTTCTCTTTTTTTTGGCAACACTCTTGTTTTTTCATTTAATTTGGTTATTTAAAATTACATTCTATATTCCTAATTTCATTGTTTGACATGCTCTGTTAATTAAATACTCAATTATTGTTTCACTTATCTATCGGTTGTTTGTTCTCATTTTCATACAGCACCATTACAGACTCACTGAATCACGTCTCAATGACTCACGTCTCATCCAACTTAATAACTTAAAAAGTAACAATAGATAAAGGAAAATACCCATATATGACGGATTTTGCTGTCACATTTTGTTTAATCATTTTTGCTGTAAACTAGGCAATATGATATATTTATAATTTCATCTCTTTAGGAATGATTAATTATAAGTATAATTGTCATTGTAAAACAAGTTTTGGTAATAAAATGTAATATTTTCGGTCAAAATAAACATCTATTAAGCAGTACCATTTACCTTTAATACTTGCATTCATTTGGAATAAGGCTATATATAGAATCCATAGATTCTCTATTTGTGCTAGACATAGCCTTATTCAATTTAAAGTGGTACAAAGACTTCATCTATCCAATTACGGCCAAGCTGGCACTGATGTATTCATCTGTTGAGCCCATCTGTACAACATGCAAACAGTCCCATGCTAAATTAGCCCTTATGTTTGGGTTATATCCCAGATTATATGTTTTTTGGTCAAGTCTTGCTCCAGAATATTTTGTAAAGATGTTTGTGCAAATCCCTTAACTGCTATCTTTGGTCTATTGTATATGTATTGAATATGAAAATAACAATTTGTCAAGAAGTGAATTAGACTGCATCGCCTTCTCTTTGGGCAAGATGTCTGATTTTAAGCAAGTGGAAGCAATAATTTTCCCCTTCTTTTAACAGTGGACCAATGATGTGTTGCATTTCCTTAGTTTGGAAAAAATAAGACTTAGTTTAATTGGTCTCGAGTCCAAGTTCACTGTCATGTGGCTTCCTTTCATAAATTACTTCCTAAGCCAAATGTAATTGTAAGTGGACAAAATGATGCTGATGCTGTCAGGTTTTGCTTGTATTCTACTGATGCTATTTTCTTTGTTTTGTCTTTGTTGATATGTACACAATATAAACACACACACCCTTGATGAGTCATTAAAACTAGACAAACACATCAGTTGGGTTATTGGCTCCAGTTTTTATCAACTCCGCTTGCTGTCTAAAGTCAAACATTTCTTAAATCCCACCACACTAGAAATGGCTGTCCACACTTTTATGTTGTAAGAGTTCAGAGGGGACAGATCTTTCTCGGTAGTGGATCCTTGATTATGGATCAATTTGCCCCTTGAGATTAGAATGGCTCCATCTCTATCTATTTTTAAGTCACTCCTAAAAACGTACCTATTTAGCTTGGCTTTTTAATATTATTTTAATAGTCCTTACTACTGCTACCTTTTTTATTTTTTCAGTCATTTGTCTTGTCTTACTTTTATGTTTTTATATTCAGTCTTTTAATTTTACTTTGTCTTATGTACAGCACTTTGGTCAGTTTTGTGACTGTTTTTTAACTTGAACAATGTTAAAGCACTATGTTTGTATGTATGTCATATTGTTAGTTATGTTAATTAGTGACTGTATGACATTTTTACTTTCTTGACTATGTAAATAAATATAAAAGGAAAAAAATACTTATGCAGATCAAAACAAAACAAAAATCACCTACTTTAATAGTTTGACTCCAGTAAAATTGAGGAGGAAGACTTAAAACTTTTACTGGCGTAATATTTTACTAGGATATCTGTGCTTTTACTCAAGTGCTTAATTTGTGTTTTCCAGCACTGAACTTACCATAAGCATATTTGGCATTGCAGAAGACTTTGCTGTTCCCGAGAGCTTGCTGTTTGCAAATGCATTTGTCTATCAAGAAAAGGAAAAACGCAGCAATTAAAGAACTGGCTGCCGGTTTCATTCTGTTGCTACGACAAACTTAGAAACAGGCATGACTTTACAAGAGCACATGACTTCAGCCCAGACAAACAATAAACTTTTCATGGGGGAACAAGACTGTGGTGTTTTATCAGCTTTAAGATTTCGCTGAATACCTGGATGACTGAGGGCGGAGAACAGCTCTTCTGTCCGAAACAGATGATTTTCTGCTGTGCTGTTGTCATCTGACTCAGACCTAGAAAATAACCACACACAAACACACAGCATGGTTATATGTTCAGTTGAAGTCAGAATTATTAGCCCCCCTGTTTATTTTTTTCAACACATTTCTAAACACAATAGTTTTAATAACTCATTTCTAATAACTGATTTCTTTTATCTTTGCCATGATGACAGTAAATATTATTTTACTGGATATTTTTCAAGACACTTCTATACAGCTTAAAGTGACATTTAAAAGCTTAACTTGGTTGATTAGGTTAACTAAGCAGTTTAGGGTAATTAGGCAAGTTACTGTATAACGATGGTTTGTTTTGTAGACTGTTCTGCGAAAACAATATAGCTTAAAGGGGCTAATAATTTTGTCCTTAAAATGGTGTTTAAAATATTTAAAATTGCTTCTATTTAAGCCAAAATAAAGCAAATAAGACTTTCTTCAGAAGAAAAAATACTTTCAGACATACTGTAAAAATTTCCTTGCTCTGTTAAACATCATTGGGGAAATATTTAAAAAATAAAAATAAAATCAAAGGGGGGGCTAATAATTCTGACTTCAACTTTATGTCTGTACATATATATATACAAACTTGAATTTATAGTGGTGGTGTTTGACATTTTCGGTAATGTTAGTTTGTGTAATACATGCTTCAGCTAATCAAATTTATGTATTTATTTATTATTGTATACATGTTTATCATTTATTAAGAAAACATAATTAAGTGTTCAGTGTTTTGAGGGATGTATGGGCTAGTATATTCTGACCTACTGTACAATCACCTGTGATTAGCCATTTCAGAGGTTGCTGCAGGTAAAACTATAAAATCTATGCATCCAATTTTACTTTACTTTAGGCTATATGTAGACACAATAATGGTATGAACAAATGTGTATTTATGTATTATATACATACATTATATATTATATATCATTCAAGATACAGATCAGACAAAACTATTTCTCACTTTTAAAGGACTGACATCTTATTCTGACTTTGATTTTTTAACGCAATCGAAATGAATAAATTATTAAATTGTAATCAGAATTATTAAACTCCCTTTTAATTTTTAATTTTTTTTAATATTTCCCAAATTATGTTTAACAGAGCAAGAAAACTTTCACAGTATGTCTGATAATGTTTTTTCTTCTGGAAAAAGTCTAATTTGTTTTATTTTGGCTAGAATAAAAGTAGTTTTGAATTTTTTAAAAGCCGTTTTAAGGTCAAAATTATTAGCCCCTTTAAGCAACATATTTTTTTCGATAGTCTACAGAACAAACCATCATTATACAATAATTTGCCTAATTACCCTAACCTGCCTAGTTAACTTAATTAAACTAGTTAAGCCTTTAAGCTGTATAGAAGTGTCTTAAAAAAATATCTAGTAAAATATTATTTACTGTCATCATGGCAAAGATAAAATAAATCAGTTATTAGAAATGAGTTATTAAAACTATTATGCTTAGAACTGTGTTAAAAAAATGTTCTCTCCGTAAATAAACAGAAATTGGGGAAAAAATAGACAGGTTGGCTAATAATTCTGATTGCAACTGTAGGACTTACTATACAGTAAGTATCAGATTAGTATAATTAGTTAACTTATTTAAATTTAAATGACTAAATGTATTTAATAGTATTGAATGCATTTCTTTTAATTATTTAAATAAAATGTACACTGAATTTGTGTCAATTAAATGTACAGCCTGAATCCCAGAAAAGCTGATAAAATTTAAAATATAACCCAATCAAGAATACGCTTTGCTGATTTTCTTTAAGTTTATTTAATTGCATAATTGTACAAAGAAAAGATTTCAAGTGTCAGTGAGAAACTTAATTGTATTCTGGAATTATAAACAAATTTGATGACTTTGATGCCTGCAACACACTCCAAATAAGTTGGGACAGAGGCATCTTTAACACCGTTTCACAGTAACTTTCCTTTTAATACAAAGCTTCATCATCTGGTTATTGACAATATGAACTGTTCAAAGCTATTTTTGAAGCTATTTCTGCTTTAATACAAAACTTAAGATGCTCATCAGCTGCATCATAACTAATTTACAATTAACTTGCTCTGTGAAAACACTGGAATTTTTGTCTTTGTACTTCTGACGATTAAATAAAAGTTAAAGAAAAATCAGCAAATTGCTAATTTTTTAATTTTAATGAATTTAAAAAAATGTACAGACTTTTCTGGAAATTACATTGTTTTTTTAATGCAAATGACAAAAAAGTGATTTACATACATAGAAAGTATAAATATATTTTCCCTCTAAAGTTTCTGTTTTATTTAAATTATTATAAAGCATTACTGTTCATAGATAAGTTCAACAATAACAACAACTGAAATTGTGGAATGGATTCAATCTGAAATTCCTCATACACTCGTGCATACAATGGAAGTGACTGCACTGCCCTCAAAAATGATGAAACAATCAGCAAAGAGGTTAATATTCACCTAATCATACAGTCTCCGGTGTAAGGGTCACAATCCCCAGCACACTGACATGGCTTGCAACCGTACTCATCCAAACCCCAGTATCCCAGCATGCACTGCTCACAGTGCCTCCCAGCCACCCCTGGCTTACAGACACACTCTCCGTTATCAGGTTTACAATATGAGGAACCGACATGGTTACACATACAAGCTGCAAATCAGGAAAAGAAAAAAAAGTTACACACCTCAGACTGCTGAAAATTATCCATATTACAAGCAGGTACTACAGTTTCCAGAGGCACTGAAAAAATGTAAATATAAAGATCCCCTCAAATTCCTTAAAATGAGCAGCACTGTTCAGTGTGTGAAGTAATTTCAATCAAAATGTGAAGACAGCGTGAGACATATTGAGTAACACCTCCTTCTTTAAAAGAAAATAGCCAATAATGTATTGTTACTGTACATCAAAGTTCTGCTGGCCGGAGTCACTGAGCTAAAGTGCATCAGGCTCATGACAGTCACAGACTGTAATAGTAATACTAATTCTGTCTAACTGCTTTAAAAGGCACAGTATTTAATTTTCACCGCTAGTTGGCTTGTATTCACAACAAACAAAAGAGTGGCACCGTGACTGAGTGTGCAATCATGGGAGTTGTGGTCTTCATTACATTCTATGGTACTGTTACAATCTTAAAGATGGTCAGTCAAGGGGAAGGAGATTAACATTCATTTTGGGTAAAACACACAATATCAACAAGTGAAGGACAAAATACCACAACTAACTAAATGCAATAAAGTGAGTTTTATTGACAAATAGTGATAATAAGTCCAAAATGTATAAAGAGCAATAAATATTTACAAAAATATATTGAAAATCACAGGCAACAAAGGGGACACAAAATGTTTAAACAGGTAGAAGGGAGAGTTGGAGAGATAAGACACTGCCGGCGAAAGGAATATCTTCACGACATTGACGCACTACCTTACCTACATTAAGATAAGAGAAAAACAAAAATACAGCGGGATGGGTGGAGCACGGCCCTTACCTAGTGTGTCTAACAAAACTGATATTCAAAGCCTACGTGTGAACAATGTATGTCGCGCGACATTCTTACCTGTCCCACTCTCCAACCTCAGATGTGCGAAACACTGATGGTGGACAACGGGAGAATAGACCAATAAAAGCAGACATATACCAAACTGTAACACACTGAATGGATTGCAAATTCACTGACGCACAACACAGCACAGAAAAGTCCCAAACCTTGCGAGTAGTGTCCTGTCACCAATTTTTTATTTATTTATTTTTTTTGCCAAGAAAGCAGCGGAGCTTTTATTATGGCATAGTCCATCACTTGGGTCTTTCACGTGTGATTCCACATGTGATCACAGGGAGAAGCAAAAGGGCTGTTTTAGTCTTCCAGATACTTTGAGTTCTATTATAATGTTGCATTTATAGCATTTTGATAAAAAAACACAACATATTAAAGAAACTTTGTTGTTTTCTGGTTATCAATAACCAAACTGGAGATTGAGGGTGTGTGACATCAATTGCATGAACACACAGTACACAGTCTGAGTTGCTAGATAAAATTGCTTATTTCTCTTTAAAATGAATAAGACAGCAGAATATATTTCATTGTTCTAGTGCTTTTTGAATATCTTATTGTAAAATGTGCGTAGTGTTGCATCTCTTTACCAGAGCAGAGCGTGTGTGTCCACTGCTGCAGCAGTTGGCGACATGACCAAATTCACGGCAATGGAAAGCATATTTACATTTTCTGAATCTTTTATCCCCTATATAGTGCACTGCATGTTTCAAGTATCAACGGGAGCGTTAGCCAACCAGGTTGCTTTATGGAAATAGCCAATTGTGTAGCCAAGTAGCCAGATGTGGTCTAATTTCATTGTCTGACGCAATCTCTTCTAAATAAATGACCTCTTGTAGATCCTGTGAATAAAATTTTAAACAGTGCATTTCTTGCATCTTCTGTAAACAAATATTTGAACGTAAATCATTTTAATATAATGGACAATATGCCATCTCAAGGCATCTCTGGCGCAGCTTCCAATCATCGTCTGTGTAGTGCAAAGTAAGGCTCAAGTCCTTTGTCCTACACAACCAAAGATCAAATGTGTCCGCAAAGTGGCTGCAGAAATATAAATCCGCCTCAGCCTTTAACACAGCGGGGTCACATGACTCCACTTGGTAGGGAAAGCAATTGAATAAATCATCCTGGAAAAATTAGGTCGACTACAGGCTCGATAACTTTTCTATTAATCGCCCAGCCCAACTCTGCATCTCTTCTAAATGTAAATTTTGTCTTTGTTTTAGAGCACACTAGCTTATAGATGACCTCAAGACATATCTATTTAAGTAAATAACATGCCTTAATCAATTTAACACACACTCTCTCTCTCAAAACAAAAGTTCATTTTGCTTTCAGGGGGACTTTAAACTGTTTTGCCTCAATGTAATGAATTTCTAAATGACTCACAACATAAGAATGAAAACTTGGATCACTCCAGACCAGACTGACGCAGTCAATTATTATGAGACTGGTGTCATCTGATGATTAATCTGTCTGCCTCCACGTACACAACATTAGCATTTACACTCAACATGTGCACACACACACACACACACACACACGGCCGAGATCCCATCAATGTTCTTGTTTTTCCGCATGTCCTGACTCGCAGTAAGAGCCATTAGCATTCCGAGCAGCAACAACATTCAATGCCAAAGATCCCCTCAATGTGTACATGCTACAATATCGGACATGTTCGCTGATCTTGCGAGTTCCTGAATTTTGACATCATCTAGGCCAAGCTGTACACGTAAACAGACACTCAAACACTCCTTCATGACTACGATGAAGACAGACATGCAAATCACTAATACTCACACACACACACACCATTTTAAGCAGCTTTTTCAAATCTGAGATTAATGGCTTTCATCTGAGTCCAAAGCACAAATACATACTCCTGGTCAAATGTTTAAATTATTGACCTTTCTTTAATGTTTTTGAAACTTTAAGCTCAACAAGGCTTTTCTTAAGTTTTTAAAGATGCATACATGACTTTTTCTATCATAATGTATTTGAAAATCAGTTTTATTCGTGTCACAATTCTTCAGAAATCGGTCTGATATACAGATTTGGTCCTCAATTATTATATTAATATTACTATTAACATTATTTACTATTATGTTTATTTTTCTTTTATTAATTTTGTCACAACAACAATGTATAGCATAAAAACAAAAATTAATCACAAATAAATAAATAACATTAATAATAAAATACAGGTTATTAATTATGATGATATTAATGCCAAGATACACAACACAAAGGAGAATTAAGTACTATTATATTATAATATATTACTCATTTTCTTTTTGGCTTAGTCCCTTTATTAATCTGTGGTCGCCATAGCGGAATGAACCGCCATCTTATCTAGAATATGTTTTACACATCACATGCACTTCCAGCTGCAACCCATCTCTGGGAAATATCCATACATATATTTGGATATCCAAATATCCAAGGCACATACACTATGGACAATTTAGCTTACCCAATTCACCTGTATCGCATGTCTTTGGACTGTGGGGGAAACCAGAGTACCCGGAGGAAACCCACGCCAACACGGGGAGAACATGCAAACTCCACACAGAAACGCCAACTGACCCAGCCGAGGCTCGAACCAGCGACCTTCTTGCTGTGAGGTAAACATGCTACCCACTGCGCAGCTATTATTTTATCTTATATTAAATTACATTACATCATATATTATATTATATTAAATTTTATTATATTACTTAACATTATATTATATTATATTATATTATATTATATTATATTATATTATATTATATTATATTATAATATATTATATTATATTATATACAATTTTTAATTCAATTCAATAAAAATGTACAACTTCTGTTGCTTAATATTTTTGTGAAAATATATCCATTTATTTTTGGTGTACAGAATTTACTTGAAATTAAACTTGCAAACATAGAGTACAGCACTTCAGACTCCCACTGCCAGAACTCGAAGATTTATGTAATTTTGGCAAGCTGAACGCATTCTGTACTGTACAGCAGACACAGCACAAAGGAGATAGATTGACAGTGGTCTAAAGCCATTCAGGACACACAACACAATGCACTACTTAGGATGCAGAACACAATACACTGTAAAAAAAAAAAAAAGCATGTCAAATTGCACAAAAAAAATATGAATAAAATTTACAAAACTGCGAGGCTGCGAAAGGTGAACCACGTTATAGTTCTTATAGCTTTCTGGGGAAAAAAAGATGTAAAAAATATTAAAAGTATTCACACAACTTAATTTTAATTTGAAACTGAATGCGAAGTTTTAACACGATGTGGGGGAGATTAGGGGGAGAAATGGTTAAACACTTACTTTGGTTTTCATAAGCAGCCAAACATGGCATTAGTAAGGCTCTGGCTGAGCTCTGATGTAAACAAAACGATAGTGGCTTTTTTTTTTAATGGGAGGAGCTACTGAATATGCCCCGCCTCATTTTTCAGATTTAGCTAAAATTGAATCAACGCAACGAACCACGCTGCATGTTTTAAGGCACTTGAGAGGACCTTTAAATGTCTCCATGTGATATAAATGTGTTTTCACAACATCTGTAAATGGCTGATAGTGTCTTACGTGTGCAGGAATCTGGGGCGGTGGAGGGTTTCTCCGGATCTCTGTAGAAGCCGCTCTGACAGTGTTGGCAGTGTTGGCCGGTGGTGTTGTGAAGACAGTCACAAACGCCACCGTGCTGCTGACCCGACCGCAGCCATACGCTTTCATCAAAGTGACAGCTCTCCGCATGGCCATTACACTTACACTCTACACACAGACACAAATATTCGTTTAGACATAAGACACATAATTAACTCACAAATCACAGAAAATATGGTGTGTTTGTGTGTGTGTGTGTGTGTGTGTGTGTGTGTGTGTGTGTGTGTGAGTGTACATTTACATATATTTATATATATATAAATACACACATTTAATATACATAAAATACAAAATGTACAAAAGAAACATATATGTGTACATATATATCTATATTATATATAGTTTTTATTATATATAAATATTTACAGGTGAGTTCAATTATTAGCCGCTTTGAATTATAAGCCCCCGTTTATTTTTTCCCCAATTTCTGTTTAATGGAGAGAAGATTTTTTTCAACACATTTCTAAACATAATAGTTTTATTAACTCATCTCTAATAACTGATTTATTTTATCTTTGCCATGATGACAGTAAATAATATTTTACAGGATTTTTTCAAGACACTTCTATACAGCTTAAAGTGACATTTAAAGGCTTAACTAGGTTAATTAGTTTAACTAGGCAGGTGAGGGTAATTAGGCAAGTTATTGTATAACGATGGTTTGTTCTGTAGACTATCGAAAAGAATATAGCTTAAAGGGGCTAATAATTTTGACCTTAAAATGGTGTTTAAAAAATTTAAAAACTGCTTTTATTGTAGCCAAAATAAAACAAATAAGACTTTCTGCAGAAGAAAAAACATTACCAGACATACTGTGAAAATTTCCTTCCTCTGTTAGACATCCTTTGGGAAATATTTAAAATAGAAAAATAAATTCAAAGGAGGGCTAATAATTCTGACTTCAACTGTATATTAATGCATATATTAATATACACAAAAATATACACAGTATGCACACATTTATTTAGTAAATGTAAACTTTTATTATGGATGTGATTAATCCTTTGACAGCACTAGTTTATATTATTTTAAGGTTTATGACCTTTAACAGACCTGGCAACCCTGCCATAAATTTATACTAAAGAAAAAACATTTTCTTTTTCATTTACAAGCAAGGATCCATTATATAGTTCCAAAATTATACTAAATACTGTACATTTATAATTATACAAAATTTGGATTTTAATTACATTCTGATACTGTAAACCTATGCGTCAAAGAATCTAGGAAAAAATATGTCGTATTTACAATCTAAACAATTCATTTTGGGGGTCAGAATGATTTTTTTTTCTTAATTACATGAACAAGTTACATTTTAAAAATATTATTATTTATGATTATTATTATTATAAATAAATTGATAGTGTAAATTGTAGGGAGCAGAAGAGACTTCGTTCAAAAACATTAATAAACAAATGGAACAATTCCATAGTGAATGGTAATGTCAGAACCACAATATCAAAAAATAACACCTAAACTACTTTTTAAAATTTATTATTGATATTATTATCATCATAATGAAAATGCATAGTTTAAACTGTAGGGAGCTGAAGAGACTTCTTTCAAAAATATTAATAAAACAGTTTACCAATTCTAAAGTGAAAGGTAATGTCAGAACCACAGTATCAAAAACATTTTAAATTTACTATCATTAATAATATAATCATCATCATATAGAAAATGGATTGTTTAAATTGTAGGGAGCTGAAGAGACTTCTTTCAAAAACATTAATAAAAAATATACTAATTCCAAAGTGAATAGTAATGTCAGAACCACAATATCAAAAGATAACACTTGGGGTCCCACTTTTTACTAAGTGTCCTTAACTATGTACTATGTACTGACATCACAAAATAAATACAATGTACTTACTGTGTTTATAATGTATTTGAGAACACTTATGGTGCTTTTGAGTTGAGATAGAGGTTGGGTTATGGACAGGTTTGGTGGCATGGGTATGTTTAAGGGTAGTTTAAGGTGTAAGGGATGGTCAACTGTGTATTTACAAATGTATTTACAAAGGTTAATTACAGATGTAATTACATACATGTATTTAATCAAGCATAAGTACATAGCAAATACATGTTTTTACACAATAAGTACATTGTAACAAACTATTAATTCCTGTGTAAGTACATATTAGTTAAGGCCACTTAATATAAAGTGGGACCACACTTGGTAAACTCTTTCCAAACATGCAACCAATCAAAAACAGTCAAAACATACTCAACCGTGAATGTCATTCACTGCAAGTCAACACTTACTGTAGTTTCACATATGAACTGAAACTTACCAACACACTGATTTGCTTCTCCTGTTAAGCCGTCAGCTGCTCTCCATGGTCTGTCATTGTAAAGGCGATGGCAGCGTTCACAGTGATCTCCAGCCGTGTGATGCCGGCATAAGCATTTACCGTGCACCTGCAGAGGCCAAAAAAACACAATTCACAATACAATGACACACTGTTACAGGTCACCTCGGGGCAACTGGATGCAAAACCTTAGGATCAGCAATTTACTAAAGCGATCATCAACACGTTCCAGCGTTCATTTAGGTGCCAAATATTGTATCATACTGCATACTTTGCCAAAGAATAAATCAAACACCACACAGCTTTAATTCTCATCAGAAACCTACAGTTAGCTCTGTAGATTTTTTTTTGTTATGTTTGTTAAATTTACTAGGTTAGCAAAAGGGTGTGGCCTTTTTTGATATTTTTATTCAGAAAGGAAATTTAATATAAAAATACCAAAAATGATAAACACTGCTTGAAAACTCTTGATTTCTCTGGATTAATGATTTATAGTTGTGTGTACTTTTGTTTTATTCTGTAAAATATTGATGATTCTTTCCAAATAAAAAAGTAAACACTTAATTAAAACAGGCTTATTTTAATTAACAGACTTGTTATATAAAAACTGCAGACAATGTAACTTGTAAATGTGTCAATTTTAAAATAGTTAAGAAATGAATATTTGGAGAAATAAATAACACTAATTATAAATCACAACAAATAAAATATTTAGTATTGAGACAAAGGGTCCACCTTTTATAATTTTTTTTTAAAGATACTCTAAATGACAATTTTTGTATTTGAAATTTGAAAGAAATGTTATCATACCTTAATAAAATAAAACAAATATTACATTTTATTCAAACCCATACCTAATAAATCCATTGAATCCAGAGAAACATTTTAAATCCATTTTTTGTTTTGTTACCAATATTTTTACTGAGATGTAATAAAAAAATGACAGTATAACATCACAATCATATTTACATTTTTGTTTTAAATTTAAAGGGAAAAACTAAAATAATGGGGGAAAAAACTAAAGCAAAAAAAGGGATAAAAAAAGGAATGAAAAAAGGAAGGGGGGCACAGGTTGTTTAAATTAGTAACAGATTATTATATTATATTTTAGAAAGTTTTTTTGGAAGAAATCATTGAAAATACAAATCATCTATAGAAGCCATGCCCCAGGTCATCAATTTGACAATGGCTTCTTTGGAAACGGGGAATATGTAGATAGGTTACAGTAAGTCAATGTCAGTTTATTTTGTCTTTTCCTGTTTCAATTTAAAAAATTGCTGAAATTTGAATATGAAATAAGATATATAAGGGGTGTCCACATTTTCTCAAAAACAGTAAGTTTGCCTTTTAACATGTATGTAATCTTTTCCATAGTTAAACAGAAGGACATATTATTGATCCACTGTACAATAGATGGCCTTTTCTTTCCTTTCCTTTTCTTGAAGTATAAATATATCGATAAGTTTACGAGTACTGCTGTGGCAGTCAATGTTTTCACAAGTCATTCCCAAAATAAACATTTCCGGTTTCATGGGCAGTTTTATGGATATCATTTCAAAAATGAACAAAGCCACCTTTCCAAAATTCCTGTACCTTCGGGCAATCCCACATCCAGTGTAAAAGTGTACCTTTTTCAACTGAGCATTTAATGCATGTGTCTAGGATACTTTGGTTAATTTTATTTAACCTGACTGGAGTGATGTATGTTCTCATAATCTAGTTGCACTGTATTTATATAAGATTACTAGTAAATGTTAATAATTGGGCTTTTGTACATGTTTCCTCCCATTCATCCAGTGGAATATTTATATTTAATTCCTCTCATTAAATGCATTTGTTATTATTTATAAGAACCCTATTTTCTCTCATTTCCATTTTAGTGGTAAGGTCCACTGTTACATTTTTGAAGCCTGGACTTCAAACAGACAACAACAGAAGAATAACAACATGTAAACCATGTAATATAATAATTGCTGTTTATCCATAAAGTATAATAAGTGCTGATTAATTGCAATTAATCACATCCAAAATAAAAGTTAATATTTACAAAATATATTTGTTCATAATATTTATATATGCACGACTATTTTGTATAACACAAATAAATAAATAAATAAATAAATATATTTCATTAATTAACTATTCATTTTTCTTCGGCTTAAATTTCTCTGCTGGAATTACAAACACTGAAGAGCAAATCCATCAATGCGCAACTTCACAAGTCCCAAAACAACAAGCCAGTGGTGAGGAACAAAAATCAACAATTGACGAAAGTGAATGTAAAATGTTTTACATAGCAGATGCCTTTCCAGTCACAACCCAGTAATGGGAAACACCTATTAAATCTCACATTCACACATGCACTCATACACACAATTAAGTTCATCCAATTTACCTATATCGCATGTCTTTGGACTGTTGGGGAAACCTAATCACCCGGGGGAAACCCACGGGAACACGGTGAGAACATGCAAACTCCACACAAAAATGCCTACTGGCCCAGTCAGGACTCGAACCAGCGACCTTCTTGCTGAGAGGCGACAGTGCTTACTACTGAGCCGTTGTGCAGCCTATATTGAATATTCACATACATTAAATATACAGTCAAGCCCGATATCATTTATACCCCACTGTACACAAGCATGCATGCATGCATAAATAATATAAATTAAAACTTTAATCTTGGATGTGATCAATTGTTTGACAGCACTTAATATAAGATAATCCAATGTAATATAACAATTTGTGAAACTTGCTGCACACCCCCATTCTCTCCTACATTCCTTTTCAAGTGGTTATGAGCTCAACATCTCTGCCTCAATATAAAAACATCCTCCTCGTCCATAGCGTCCCTGATTACCTAATGCCTTGGGCCTAATGACTCAGCCATTCATCCATCAAGACCATCTCCTCCGTGGGTTTCACAAAAATATTATTGGTCACATTCATGCTGAGCAGCGAAAACAAACAAGAGAGATTAGAGTTTAGAAAATACTTCAGGAAAGAAAGAGAACAAATGAGCGCTTCAGAGGAGAAGGAGGGGGGTCAAACTGGCAGCGCTCCATCCGGTTGGCATCTGAAACACTTTCGCATGTTTATCATCATAATATGGGAGGAAACGCACCCAGACACACACACACGCACGCACACTCTCTCCCTGCAAACCAAAACATTCCTGCAGGGGCACACAAGGGCTGTGTGAGAGCACGTGTTCCAATTATGAGTGTGGAGGGATGGACTGAGCATGCGGGTCATTCTATAGTTCTATAGAAACATTAAAAAAAAAAAATGAAAATAATAATGTTCACCAAATGATAATTCTTTTCAGGGTCTTACTAAAAAAATATTCAATTTTAATAATATAGTCAAATTCGCTTGGTAACGGAGTTTGACGGTAACAGTACAGTATATACACATACATGGATCAATCATTGGTTCAAACATTGCATCCTGAAGGCAGTGTCATGTGCCAGAATGATGATGATGATGCAGCAATACACACAGCAAGACTGGTGACAGAGTGGTTTGATGAACATGAAAGTAAAGTTGAATATCTTTCATGGCCTGCACAGTCACCAGATGCAATGATTATTGAGCCAATTTGGGGTGTTTTGAAGAAACGTTTTCCTCCACCAGCAGCATAGTGACCTGGCTACTATTCTGCAAGAAGAACACCTTAAAATCCCTGTGGCCACTGTGCAGGAATTGTATCTGTTATTCCCAAGACAAATTGATGCTGCATTGGGCGCAAAAGGAGGCCCTACACCATACTAATAAACTATTGGAGTCTAAAACCAGGCATTTCAGTTTCATTGTCCAACCCCTGTGAATGAATGTGTCTGTTTAATTACAGCTTGATTTTTTTACTCGGGTAAATATACTTTAAGCAGGCCATTTAATTTAGAAGGGAATATTTAATGTATGTATTATTACAGATGGTAATTTTTGACAAATATTTCAGAGCAATTTAGACTTATTCAAATTTAGATAGATGAATTAAATATACAATTAGTAAAACAAATGTTAAAAACGCTTTTCAATTTGATTTAACACTAACACTTTACAATAAAATCACATATATACATATGTGTGTGTGTTTTTATTGTAAAGTGTTAGTGTTAAATCAAATTGAAAAGCATTTTTAACATTTTTTTTAATTTTAACATACATATATATATATATATATATATATATATATATATATATATATATATATATATATATA